TGAGATGAAGTTTGTATAGCTTGACATTGTGAAGATGAAGTTTGTAATAGCTTGACATTGTGAAGATTAAGTTTGTAATAGCTTGACATTGTGAAGATGAAGTTTGTAATAGCTTGACATTGTGAAGATGAAGTTTGTAATAGCTTGACATTGTGAAGATGAAGTTTGTAATAGCTTGACATTGTGAAGATGAAGTTTGTAATAGCTTGACATTGTGAAGATGAAGTTTGTAATAACTTGACACTGTAAAGATGAAGTTTGTAATAGCTTGACATTGTGAAGATGAAGTTTGTAATAGCTTGACATTGTGAAGATGAAGTTTGTAATAGCTTGACATTGTGAAGATGAAGTTCGTAATAGCTTGACATTGTTAAGATGAAGTTTGTAATAGCTTGATATTGTGAAGATGAAGTTTGTAATAGCTTGACATTGTGAAGATGAAGTTTGTAATAGCTTGACACTGTGAAGATGAAGTTTGTAATAGCTTGACATTGTAAAGATGAAGTTTGTAATAGCTTGACATTGTGAAGATGAAGTTTGTAATAGCTTGACATTGTGAAGATGAAGTTTGTAAGAACTAGACATTGTGAAGATGAAGTTTGTAATAGCTTGACATTGTAAAGATGAAGTTTGTAATAGCTTGACATTGTTAAGATGAAGTTTGTAATAGCTTGATATTGTGAAGATGAAGTTTGTAATAGCTTGACATTTTGAAGATGAAGTTTGTTATAGCTTGACATTGTAAAGATGAAGTTTGTAATAGCTTGACATTGTGAAGATGAAGTTTGTAATAGCTTGACATTGTGAAGATGTAGTTTGTACTAGCTTGACATTGTGAAGATAAAGTTTGTAATAGCTTGACATTGTAAAGATGAAGTTTGTAAGAACTAGACATTGTGAAGATGAAGTTTGTAATAGGTTGACATTGTAAAGATTAAGTTTGTAATAGCTTGACATTGTGAAGACTAAGTTTGTTATAGCTTGACATTGTGAAGATGAAGTTTGTAATAGGTTGACATTGTAAAGATTAAGTTTGTAATAGCTTGACATTGTGAAGATGAAGTTTGTTATAGCTTGGCATTGTGAAGATGTTGTTGGTAATAGCTTGACATTGTGAAGATGTTGTTAGTAATAGCTTGATATTGTGAAGATGTAGTTTGTAATAGCTTGACATTGTGAAGATGAAGTTTGTAATAGCTTGACATTGTGAAGATGAAGTTGGCAATAGCTTGACATTGTGAAGATGAAGTTTGTAATAAATTGACATTGTGAAGATGAAGTTTGTAATAGCTTGACATTGTAAAGATGAAGTTTGTAATAGCTTGACATTGTGAAGATGAAGTTTGTAATAGCTTGACATTGTGAAGATGAAGTTGGTAAGAACTAGACATTGTGAAGATGAAGTTTGTTATAGCTTGACATTGTGAAGATGAAGTTTGTAATATCTTGACATTGTGAAGATGAAGTCTGTAATAGCTTGACATTGTGAAGATGAAGTTGGTAAGAACTAGACATTGTGTAGATGAAGTTTGTAAGAACTAGACATTGTGAAGATGAAGTTTGTAATAGCTTGACATTGTAAAGATGAAGTTTGTAATAGCTTGACATTGTGAAGATGAAGTTTGTAATAGCTTGACATTGTAAAGACAAAGTTTGTAATAGCTTGACATTGTGAAGATGAAGTTTGTAATAACTTGACATTGTGAAGATGTAGTTTGTAATAGCTTGACATTGTGAAGATGAAGTTTGTAATAGCTTGACATTGTGAAGATGAAGTTTGTTATAGCTTGACATTGTGAAGATGTAGTTTGTAATAGCTTGACATTGTGAAGATGAAGTTGGTAATAGCTTGACATTGTGAAGATGAAGTTGGTAAGAACTAGACATTGTGTAGATGAAGTTTGTAATAGCTTGACATTGTGAAGATTAAGTTTGTAAGAACTAGACATTGTGAAGATGAAGACATGATAGAAGAATAAACAGTAGAAAGTGACAGGGAGATTTTCTCACTTACAAAATCAACAGGAGAACAACTGACTGACTGAATCTACAGACAGATTGTTTTACACAATGGTCTACTATCTTTGTTTGTTTGGTCAGTTTACTGTGGCTTGTCAGTAGATCTCCTTGTTTAAATATATCACAGAAAGTAGGGACTAATTCATTTTACAATCAAGGCATGTGTTATCTATTCTGAATGAATTATATATTGATCATAGCTCATCTCATGCTTCCAATACATGTTTTAGATACACAATTCTCATCAGGACAGTTTGGCAACGTTTAATACAATTCACATACAGTAATCTTTATCAAGTATGAAAACAATGTGAATTGAAATAAATTGTAAATTATAGGCAGGATGGAGTAGTATATCATCAAGTATATATTTGATAAAGACTTGATAAACTTATAGATAAAATATCTATTTGTATTTCAGAGAGTCCACAAGGCTAATAATGTTTATTTGAGTATTTTAATCAGCAACTTGTGTAAATTCAATCCAAACCTGGGAATATCATCAATCTTGGAAATGGACAAACTTCAACCCGAAAGCAAGATTTAATAAGTTGCTGAGTTTGATCAAATGAAGATATCAAAGAAAGTGAAAAATGATCTGTCAGTGAAAGTTGATAGAACAATGTCAGTTTAAAGTGGGGATTGATTCACCCTAGAGGTCTTTCCTCTCACTGTATTCACTCATTGTTTACCTTCAAATTACTTTTAGTGTTTTTTCTTAGGACTGGAGCAATCTCAGCAAAAATTCAATTTACTTTATGTAACTTTTTTTAAAAGTTAATGGTTCAAAATAATACGACAATAGATTTTCTTATTTCATTTCAGTTGATACTGTTCGTATACTGCCTCATGTATTGCCTGTATGTTGTTTTGGATTTCAGGTTTTATTTTAAGGTTGGAATCATTAGTACTTGGTTTATTTATTGACCTATTCTACACCTAAAACATCTCATTTCTGTTAAAATAAGACATTAGAAAGATTGAGGGTATATTTATCAAACTAGTTAAAGATCAACTTGACTGACATTAATCAATAGAATAACTCAAAAATACTCTGAGAAAACCTGATAATTAAAATTCTCAACACAAAGTTGTAAATAAAAACCAGGGGTTTTATTATAATGGATTATTTTAATGGAAAGAATCAAAGCTTTAATCTTTTCATCTTTTATTTCACAGAGAATATTTCTTAACCCTAAACCTTATTCTAGTCACGTTTTATACTTTACCTTAAACTTCTACAACTAGCTAGTCTTTTACACAACTTATAACTTCTACAATTAGCTGATCTTTTACACAACTTATAACTTCTACAACTAGCTGATCTTTTACACAACTTATAACTTCTACAACTAGCTGATCTTTTACACAACTTATAACTTCTACAACTAGCTGATCTTTTACACAACTTATAACTTCTACAACTAGCTGATCTTTTACACAACTTATAACTTCTACAACTAGCTAGTCTTTTACACAACTTATAACTTCTACAACTAGCTAGTCTTTTACACAACTTATAACTTCTACAACTAGCTGATCTTTTACACAACTTATAACTTCTACAACTAGCTAGTCTTTTACACAACTTATAACTTCTACAACTAGCTGGTCTTTTACACAACTTATAACTTCTACAACTAGCTGATCTTTTATACAACTTATAACTTCTACAACTAGCTAGTCTTTTACACGACTTATAACTTCTACAACTAGCTGATCTTTTACACAACTTATAACTTCTACAACTAGCTGATCTTTTACACAACTTATAACTTCTACAACTAGCTAGTCTTTTACACAACTTATAACTTCTACAACTAGCTAGTCTTTTACACAACTTATAACTTCTACAACTAGCTAGTCTTTTACACAACTTATAACTTCTACAACTAGCTGATCTTTTACACAACTTATAACTTCTACAACTAGCTGGTCTTTTACACAACTTATAACTTCTACAACTAGCTAGTCTTTTACACAACTTATAACTTCTACAACTAGCTGGTCTTTTACACAACTTATAACTTCTACAACTAGCTGGTCTTTTACACAACTTAAAACAGTTAAATAACCTTTGAATGTGTATGGGGACACTTGAATTTTTCTCTCTGACATCAGTAGTTTCTGTAATTCTATTCCCTGTTCTTTACTTAGAACTTCTAGCATGTCATTTGAAAGTACCCAGAGTTAAATTACCTTGATATTTGTATCAGGATATATATACATACAGATCTTACATCTGTAGTTTGTTACTGTATTATTAGATGACTTAATGCGCAATACATGACAGAATGTGTGTCCAATCACACCAAACTGTCTTCAATATACACAAATAGGCTAGTTTTTCAATGCCTTTAAATCTTTTGTCATTCAGATGTCAAATAGGAAATTAGAATGGTGTAAATAGAAGCTATAAGTGTCCCATCTAGAAAACCCTTTTTTTTTCGGCCATGAGTAAAACTGAAATGAAATAGAGTTTTACATCCTTTTTCTGCTTTAGTTTAGACTAATGAAGATTAACAACTCCAGGCAGTGTGCAATGAGGGAAAACTTAACATGGCGGTGTATTCTCGTAACGATCTTCTAACATTGTTTCTAGGATATCCTAGGTTCTTATCTTCTAACACTGTTCCTAGGATATCCTAGGTTCTTATCTTATAACACTGTTTCTAGGATATCCCAGGTTCTTATCTTCTAACATTGTTTCTAGGATATCCTAGGTTCTTATCTTCTAACACTGTTTCTAGGATATCCTAGGTTCTTATCTTCTAACATTGATTCTAGGACATCTTAGGTTCTTATCTTCTAACACTGTTTCTAGGATATCCTAGAGTCTTATCTTCTAACATTGATTCTAGGATATCCTAGATTCTTATCTTCTAACATTGTTTCTAGGATATCCTAGGTTCTTATCTTATAACACTGTTTCTAGGATATCCTAGAGTCTTATCTTCTAACATTGTTTCTAGGATATCCTAGGTTCTTATCTTATAACACTGTTTCTAGGATATCCCAGGTTCTTATCTTCTAACATTGTTTCTAGGATATCCTAGGTTCTTATCTTCTAACACTGTTTCTAGGATATCCTAGGTTCTTATCTTCTAACATTGATTCTAGGATATCTTAGGTTCTTATCTTCTAACACTGTTTCTAGGATATCCTAGAGTCTTATCTTCTAACATTGATTCTAGGATATCCTAGATTTTTATCTTCTAACATTGATTCTAGGATATCCTAGAGTCTTATCTTCTAACATTGATTCTAAGATATCCTAGATTCTTATCTTCTAACACTGTTTCTAGGATATCCTAGGTTCTTATCTTCTAACACTGTTTCTAGGATATCACAGGTTCTTATCTTCTAACATTGTTTCTAGGATATCCTAGGTTCTTATCTTCTAACACTGTTTCTAGGATTTTCCCGGTTCTTATCTTCTAACATTGATTCTAGGATATCCTAATTTCTTATCTTCTAACATTGATTCTAGGATATCCCAGGTTCTTATCTTCTAACATTGATTCTAGGATATCCTAGGTTCTTATCTTCTAACACTGTTTCTAGGATATCCTAGAGACTTATCTTCTAACATTGATTCTAGGATATCCTAATTTCTTATCTTCTAACACTGTTTCTAGGATATCCTAGGTTCTTATCTTCTAACATTGATTCTAGGATATCCTAGGTTCTTAACTTCTAACATTGTTTCTAGGATATCCTAGGTTCTTATCTTCTAACACTGTTTCTAGGATATCCTAGGTTCTTATCTTCTTACACTGTTTCTAGGATATCCTAGAGTCTTATCTTCTTACACTGTTTCTAGGATATCCTAGAGTCTTATCTTCTAACATTGATTCTAGGATATCCTAGGTTCTTAACTTCTAACATTGATTCTAGGATATCCTAGGTTCTTAACTTCTAATATGATTCTAGGATGTCCTAGGTTCTTATCTTCTAACATTGATTCTAGGATATCCTAATTTCTTATCTTCTAACACTGTTTCTAGGATATCCTAGGTTCTTAACTTCTAACACTGTTTCTAGGATATCCTAGGTTCTTATCTTCTAACATTGATTCTAGGATGTCCTAGGTTCTTATCTTCTAACATTGTTTCTAGGATGTCCTAGGTTCTTATCTTCTAACATTGTTTCTAAGATATCCTAGAGTCTTATCTTCTAACATTGATTCTAAGATATCCTAGGTTCTTAACTTCTAAGATTGATTCTAGGATATCCTAGATTCTTATCTTCTAACATTGATTATAGGATATCCCAGGTTCTTATCTTCTAACATTGTTTCTAGGATATCCTAATTTCTTATTTTCTTACACTGTTTCTAGGATATCCTAGAGTCTTATCTTCTAACATTGATTCTAGGATATCCTAGGTTCTTAACTTCTAACATTGATTCTAGGATATCCTAGAGTCTTATCTTCTACCACTGTTTCTACGATATCCTAGATTCTTATCTTCTAACACTGTTTCTACGATATCCTAGGGTCTTATCTTCTAACATTGTTTCTAAGATATCCTAGGTTCTTAACTTCTAACATTGTTTCTAGGATATCCTAGGGTCTTATCTTCTAACATTGTTTCTAAGATATCCTAGGTTCTTATCTTCTAACATTGATTCTAGGATATTCTAGGTTCTTATCTTCTTACACTGTTTCTAGGATATCCTAGGGTCTTAACTTCTAACATTGATTCTAAGATATCCTAGGTTCTTAACTTCTAACATTGATTCTAGGATATCCTAGGTTCTTATCTTCTAACATTGATTATAGGATATCCCAGGTTCTTATCTTCTAACACTGTTTCTAGGATATCCCAGGTTCTTATCTTCTAACATTGTTTCTAGGATATCCTAGTGTTAAGATCGTTTCGAGAATACATGGTCAGGATATCAGCCAATTACTTCAATCTCTACTTAATATACAGTTATATATATATATATTAATTAGACAATAAACTGAAGTAGAAATATATTTAATTATTAACCCTCTCAGTACCAGTAGAGTATATTGACTGATTGACAGAATTATTTCTATAACTATTAACCCTCTCTATTTCTATAACTACCACTGGATATCGATTACCAATTCTAGCCAGACTTATTACTATTACAGCTCAAAAAACAATTAATAATCACAATATCTTTACTCATAAATCATCAGAATATTCAATAAAAAACATGTAAAAGGTTTGAATTCCAGGGTTTTTATAAGATTATGAGGAAATGAATATTTATTGTTGAGATCAGCTAGTATATTTTATTGTGGGTAAGTTCTGTGCTGAAGGAAAACCTGGTGATACAAATTACTATTAGTTGAGTTCAAGAGTGGATGACTGAACTTTCATCACAGTTCACAAGCGAAAACTTTGACCTATAATTGATAATGAAATTTGATAATTGAAATTATTAATTTCTAGCACTGATTATCAACTATTTTCATTATTTTATCTAGTTGTAAATATTAATAGTTAATATACCTACACTAGATATATAGATTACAGTCAAATAATGATGATTATCACTGATCTCTTTATAGTAGGTAAGTTATAATAATACAACTAGGTTTTATAATCATCCAGGTAACAGAGATTAATTCTACTTCATTTAATGATACAGAATTAATTATTAACTTTCTATAACGAATATTAGTTTATAAATTATCATTGATTTCTTTACAGTAGGTAAGTTATAATAATACAACTAGGTTTTATAATCATCCAGGTAACAGAGATTAATTCTACTTCATTTAATGATACAGAATTAATTATTAACTTTCTATAACGAATATTAGTTTATAAATTATCATTGATTTCTTTATAGTAGGTAAGTTATAATAATACAACTAGGTTTTATAATCATCCAGGTAACAGAGATTAATTCTACTTCATTTAATGATACAGAATTAATTATTAACTTTCTATAACGAATATTAGTTTATAAATTATCACTGATCTCTTTATAGTAGGTAAGTTATAATAATACAACTAGGTTTTATAATCATCCAGGTAACAGAGATTAATTCTACTTCATTTAATGATACAGAATTAATCATTAACTTTCTATAACGAATATTAGTTTATAAATTATCACTGATTTTTACTCTGATCATAATCAGTTCTACTAGATATATCTTAACAGTTTATGGTTAATGAACATTTTCAATTAAAAAAACACTAATAGAAGATGAAACAGTTGACATTTACTAGTAATACGTGTAAAATATTAACAAGTTAGATAACATGAAACAATATTTTTAACAGATAACTTCTGATATATTACTGTAATTATACCTTACATGTTAATATTTCACCTATTATAGTGATATTCACCTTAATCTTTCATGTCAACTAACTGTCATGTTTCTTCTAGATTCTCTACAATCTTAAAGTCATCATGTCTTCTAAATTCTTTATTTTACAGAAAACAGGTGTCAATAAATGAAGATTAGTCAATCAAGTCCAGTATTAATAGGAGAGATCAGCCATGATGTAAGGTCCTACAGGTGATTTGTGTATCATATGATGTACAACTATAACAGTTATAAGTGTAATTTGTCCTACCAATTGTCATACATGTGTTCTATTTTTAGCATATCACAAAAACATTATGATACATTCATCAGATCTATCTGGCATGGCAACTTTAAAGTTATAAATTGTTTTATACCAATTGATATAATATTAGACACCACATCTCGGATAAATGGGACAACTACTTTAAATTCAATATCATTTCTTTTGTTATCCTCAATTTGTTTTTTGATCAATAAATAGGAGTTAGATATCAAAAGGTTTATATCCAGTAGGGGAAACATGGGGATTAAACAAATATCTATCTTTAATGTTGGCTTTTTATCAAAAAATCACACAAATTTATAAAATAACAGAAAAGGAAAAAAAGAAAGATTCAAAGCTTTGAGTGTAGATGTCACGTAGGTTATAAAGGTTGTGACCTTTTAAACTTTTCAAAGAAAAACCTACAGGGTGGAGTAACGCTACAGGTTACGAAGGTTATAGTAGACAATTAAAGGATAATAGTGTAGTCTCTAATATCAAGTCTATTAAAAGACAATAGACTAGATTATCCAGTATCAAACAATCGACAGTTACAGAATCCAGTCTATGTAAAGACAAAATATCTGATTATCCAGTATACTAGTAAGAGGAAATAGTTAATATAATTTGAGATATGGGATATTTCCTGTAATGGGTTAATTTTCACCACCAACTATTTCCTCTACAACCAACTCAATAAACATTTTTCATTCATATCTCATTTCTTCATAGGAAATAATAGAATGATTCTTGAATGACAAAACTGGATATAATTCAAAAACACTCCCTACTTTACAAATGAACTCTCCCAATCATATATATACAGTTTGATAATGATATAAGATATGCATGTGTGGAAGAGTTCAATAGAAAGTTGAGGGGTGTCAAATAGATGACCACAAGTTCCAATCTTCTTGATACTGCCTTTGTGCCTACGCAAATCAACTCAGCAACCCACGGGAAGATACAGACAAATCATCCAGTTGTTTAGATGGTACAATATATACTCAGAGTCCATATAAAACATGTTAACACAGAATACAGTAGTCTTATACAACACATTTTACAGTTTCCCTCATTCCACACTTCAAAGGTGTTCATTGACCCAATCTGGAGCAGACAATCATTGACCCAATCAGGGGCAGACAATCATTGACCCAATCAGGGGCAGATAATCATTGTCCCAATCAGGGGCAGATAATTAGGACATACAACTCTATTTCATTTTAATTATGTTGGCTAAGAGAGAATAGTGTCAATAAGATATTTAAATATTAAAGATTATATAAATAAATATTATTATATATAATACTATATATATTTATTATGTTACCATGGTAACAGATTCTGTTTAATATTGATGATATATCTACCCTGTGTTGTATAATATTCTATATAATACGGCCTACTGACATGATATCTAATATAAACATTTAAATCTCAGTAGATTTTGTAGCAAATGTCTTTTGTGACAGGACATGCCAGAACACCTAACACCACTGCAACTTGGTTTGTCAACTAGAAATTCTGCAACATCTGTAAGATCTGGTGCCTAGGTTCTGCCAACCCTGGTGATTCTCTGGTGATTCTCAATTAAAATGATTGATTTATTAACAATATTTATACAGAAGTTACAATGTAATCTCTGTATAGATACTGGGTAGATGAAATACAGTCCTGTGTACCATCATGATGTAGTACAGTCAATACAGTAGAAAATAGAACTGTCTTTAAATAACTTGTCTGAAACTGTATCTAACTGTATCTAACTGTATCTAACTGTATCTAACTGTATTTGCTGATTCTATTTTCTACTGTATCAATAATCTGTAAAATACCTGATTTAAACCTGCTTACTGCTGTTTATATATTACCATTTCTATTCTTTAAAACTAACGGAGCAAAACTTTAAAACTAACAGAGCAAAACTTTAAAACTAACAGAGCAAAACTTCAATCTGTACTTTTATCAAAATATTTGAGATGTATTGCACACCTCTATCAGTAAATAGCGCACCTCTATCTATAAATGGCACATCTCTATCAGTAAATGGCCATGTTATGAGGAAGTAATGAAGAATAAGTGGAATTTAATAGACATGGTTCCTGAAAGTCTACAAGACATCAGACTACTGTAACTTTTCAATAAAACATATATACAATCACAGTTTCAATCTCAACCATTTTTTTCTTTACCATCATAATGAAAACAACACAGTAGTTTTTACAATTACATTTGAAATATAAATTTGCACCAAAAGAAAGAAAGAAAGAAAGAGAGAGAGAGAGAGAGAGAGAGAGAGAGAGAGAGAGAGAGAGAGAGAGAGAGAGAGAGAGAGAGAGTATATAATAATTGATAGGGTCACTATAAGAGGAGAGTAAACATATCAGTTTTATTAGAGAGAGATAGAGAGAGATGATTTATGAGGTCAAAGTTAATACAGATATTAACCCTACCCTCGTCAGCCAAACAATAACCGTGTTTCCACTGAGAATTGTAAAGTAAAGCTAGATCTAAACTAGCTTAGAGCCAGTTTTATTGAGGTACCGAACTTGTTGTGTTTACACTGAGTTTAAATGGTTCCTGAATGATTTTAGCCTCGATCTCAGGAGGGTTCCAGGTTTAATCCTGGCAAGTCAGGTGATAATACTGAACATTGTATTCTTAACTCAGTTAACCCTGTCAGTGAGGCAGGTTCAATCATCTAGTCGGTCAGAAAAGACAATAAATACAGGATTTCTACAGTAAAGGCTGTGCACATTAAAAATCCCTTGACAGTTACAAATCAAATGAATTTCCCT